TCTCCCCGCCCCCTTTCTTTCTCTCTCACACACACACTCAGCTTCCCTCTAGTCAACACTCACTTGTGGTTTCACCCTCTCTTGTCACTCCTCCATACATTCTCTCAGCATCACTGCCTCGCTTTGGGTTTCCCTAGTGTCAGTTAGGTCCCAATAAGGAGCAAATAAGGAGTCTTGCTGGATCAATTCAAGATGGGCCAAGGCACCATGGCAAAGTCAGATGTAGGTGAGGCACAGGCAAGGGCACAATGCTGTCACTCAGGGTTTGGAGTTATATACTGTTTCTGGCATCCAGCCCAGCAGAAGCCAGGAAGCAGGTACCAGAACCCACAGCAGGGCTTTATCAACAATCTAAGCAGAAGGACCAGGTTTGTACATTTCCTATTTGTTTTGTTCTTAGACTACGACTTCTTATAAAATATCTTTTAAAAAATGATTAGAAATGTGAGATTGGAAAACACACTAAATGAAGTTCCTAAAATCATTAGATCCAAAAGGTGAAAAACTTTATAAAATTTCTATAAAACCTCATAAATTTATAGTCTTGATTTTTATTTTTAATCTCATTGTGAAGTCAAGACAGACTGCAAGGGTGGAATCAGAGGAATAGAGGGACAACTTACTCTCCCTCTCCCCATCCCACCATCTCCTTTTGTCATCAACCAGAAAACAGACACAAGAAGAGACAATTGACATAGATCACATGTAATGGGCTCCTGGGGCAAAGGGTAGAGAGAGAGAGAGTGAGGGCACATATGGAAGCAAGCATGTGTGCATGTGATGTAGGTGGGTCTTCTTTCTATGTGTTGCTTTCATTGGTTAATTAATAAAGAAACTGCTTGGCCTGATAGGTCAGAACATAGGTGGGTGGAGTAGACAGAACAGAATTCTGGGAGAAAGAAGTAGAGTCAGGCAGACGCCATGATTTCCCTTCCCAAGACGGACGCTGACTACACTCATGCCGGTAAACCACGACCTCGTGGTGACACACAGATTATTAGAAATGGGTTAGTCAAGATGTGAGAGTTAGCCAAAAAGAGGCTACAGATAACGGGCCAGGCAGTGTTTAAATGAATACAGCTTCCGTGTAATTATTTCGGGTGTAAACTAGCTGGGGAGTCGGGATCCCGGTGGGAATGCTCTTTTTGCAACATGCATGTGTGCCACAGCATGCATGAATAAGAGCACATACAGGAACTCATGTGTGCATGAGTGACAGTACATATGAAAGCAAGCACATGTGCATGTGTGCCACAGCATGCACATACATGTCAGAAGAGAAGTTTAAGGAATACGCCGAGGTGGCTCAGTGGGTGAAGGTGCTTGCTGACAAGCTTGCCCACCTGAGTTTGAGCTCCAGGACCCACGTGACAGAAAGGGAAACCTGATGCCTGTGAACTGTCCTCTGACTCCCATATGTATGCTGTGGCTCTCACACCCACACGCAGAGAAACAAGGAAGTAAAGTAAATATAATCAATATTGGAATAGAAAAGTGTGTCTCCGTCTCCTCTTTTCTCAGTCTCGTGGGATCTTTCCATCTACTGCCTAGGACTGGCCTTAAATTGTTCCATCGTGTGGACAGGCACTTTCCTTAGCTACTTGGCAGTTAAGCAAACAGAGAGAACTAATGTTTATTAACCTAATCAGAAAGCCTCATCTCATCCAAACAATTTCTCTTATATCTTCATGCCTGAGATAATCAAAATAAGTCTATGTTGAGTTAAAGCCCTATGGTCTCTGGGCATAAAGGAGAAAATCAGATCAGAGAGTTGGGAATGCAGCTCAGATTGGCAGAGTGTTTACCTGACATGCACAAGGCCCTGGATTCAATTCCCAGAACTACAGGGAAAAAAATTAGTTAAATCAGTTCACAGCTCTCCAATACATTTTTAATAACATGAACTGCTTTTACATATTGAATTACAAAAGCCACCTTCCTCAAAAAGAACAATAATTTGTTTTGAAATTTATTTTGAGATTATAATTTAATCACATCATTTCTCCCTTTCCTTTGCTCCTTCCAAAGCCTCCCATATACCCCTCCCCACTCTCCTTCAAATTCATGGCCACTTTTCTCAGTAATTGCTATTGCATGCACAGATGTACATGTTTATACATACATACTCATAAATATAACCTGTTCAGTCTGAACCAAGTTGGTAATATTAAGCTTAAGAAGAGACACCTGCCTGCTGTTTGCTGTCATGACTTGATGTTGGATAAACTGATCACTTTTATTCCTTTTGTTTCTGTTCTTTATATTTTCTACAAAATCTAAATATGAGGGAAACTTTCACATGCATTATACAAAAGAAAGAAATCTAAACCTCAAACCTTGGCCTGAAACTTAAGTCCAGTCTCCTCCCTATATCTCTGAAGAATGGCCTAGCTCCGTCAGTCACTTCATACTGTGGGACAATGGTCTGCACCCTGTCGCTTGTATTTTAAATAAACACTGATTGACCAGTAGCCAGGCAGGAATTATAGGCAGGGCGACCAGGCAGGAAATAGAGGTGGGGCAATGAGAATTCTGGGAAGAGGGAAGTTTCAGTCTGCAGCCATCACCCAGACGCAGAGGAAGCAAGATGTGAATGCCTCACTGAAAAACGTACCGCACCACATGGCTAACACAGACAAGGATTATGGGCTAATGTAAGTTATAAGAGTTAATGAGATACCTGTGATAACAGGCCAATCGGTTTATGATTAATGTAGACCTCTGTGTATTTCTTTGGAATTTAATGACTGTGGGACCTGGTGGGACAGAAACCTCTGTCAACAACTTCACCTACCACTTTCCCAGGGTTGAGAGGAGCCAGATTCTATTTCCAGCACCTACACCATGGCTCATAATCATTTGTAACTCCAGATATAGGAATTAGAAGGAAGAATCTCTGAAGGCAAAGGTAACAAGTGGTAAAAAAGATTCCCCAGCTCAATAGGCCCAAGCCTGTCACTTCCGGGTTCTGAGGAAATGTGTATAAGGTTTATGTCTACCAGCAGAACCTGTGACATCATCCCACCCAAAGACACTGCCCTCCCAGAAACCTGCACCCCTACCCCATGGCAAGCCTCAGTCTCCTCCTCCTGAGCCTTGCTCCTAATTTAAAGGCAATTCCAAACATGCCCTCTCCTTTGACCAGCCCCAGACCTGCAAATGAAGTGGAAAGGTTTCAAATGCTGAGCTTTTCTAGAATTGAGCACAGCTGCTCTCTTCTCCAGCCTGGGAAACTGAAAGCTGGAGACCAAGGTGTGGACCAGTAGGTCATGGATCCTGCAGCAGTGGCCAAAAGTGACTCTTGTACACATGATCTCTGAAGCAGTTCCCTGCTTGTTCAGAACGCAGTAGCATAAGCAGACCCAGAAGGTTGTGTGAAGTCTGCAAAGGATTTCAAATTTTCTCCACCAAGAGTCTCAGCCATTACCAGGAATCATGCCCCATTCTTATAGCATTTCTTCCCACATCCAGAGAGTCAATCCCTTCTGAATTATTCCCAGGTCTTCGTGGAGTCTGTCGTGAAGAATGTTACAGAATGAACTCACAACCCAAATCCTGCACAAGATATGGCACAGGGATTCCAGGAGAGCACAGGGCTTCTCAGCTAGAGACCTTAAAAGACAATGTCTTCTCTGATTGTTTTCTGCGCACCACATGAAGGCAAGTGGCCAGGCCAATATAAGCACCATGGGCAGCATGGCTTGGCCATCCTAGGAGCAGAATGAGGAAGTAGTTCTTGGCTACTCTCCAACCAGGGATATCCTGGAGAATGAAAGGACTGCCACTGATGTCTGGACCGGCACGGGTGCTCAGCAGGAAAGTGACTGGCATGGTCAACTCCAGGGAAAGTCTTCCACTCCCACCAGCTTAGGGCCTCCCGCTAGCTTGGTGTCCCACTCTCCCCCAGAGTCAAAAGGAAACTGTTCTCCCAAATCAAGTCATGTCTAATTCAGCAAGCTCTCTGGCATCCCAGGAAAGACGCTATCACCAAGGCTACAAAAATGAGAGCAGACTCCTTGTCACTCTGGTTTCTCACTGCATCCCCCAAGCTGAACTAGTCCTTAGCAGTTAGTAGGTGTTGAATGAATATTTGTTGAATGAATAAATGTCTGAATGGGGTTTCTAGAGTCATAAGGAGAACTCCGGGCACCCAGAGAGACTTGGTGACAAATAAAAATGGTTTCATTTCTAAAGTGTTATAAAAATCTAACACATTTATGAATATGAAATACACATGCCTTTAAAATTCTAGACTGACTGAAACTAAACTTCTATAATCAACTGGTTGGGAGCAAATCCTTTGGAGCTGCTGCTGGGCTCCAAAGAAACCGGAGCTGTCTCCAGTGCAAACTCACCACACTTTATCGGGCAAACTGCAGCTGAGCTAAGCCAATGCTCACCACACCCACTGGCAGTCTTCAAATTCAACATCACTAAGCATGTGTAAGTTCTCTAGGAAACATGGGTGCCATGAGAGAATTAGGCTAAGGAGAAATTTAGTAGAAGAAATGCCCTGCAGGATAGAGGAGAAAGAAGTTGAAGGGGTAAGGCTGACCTTCAGACTATGGTGTGGGTGGTACCCTCAATGAAAGAGAGAGGAAAGAAAAACCTTAGGTTCGGCCAAGCTGATAGGGCTCCCAGAGCCAGAACTGTCCAGCATAGGACCCTGTATCCAAAGGATTAGCAGAGATTAGCAAGCACAGTGCCTGCCACTGGCTGGAAAAGCACAGATTCAGCTCAAACAGTTGAGCACCCAAGGAGAGGTATCTGGACTCTCAGATCTCCACGCTGGCTCCTGCAGCACGAGTTCTAAGCAGCAGTGTGTCGGGCTGTGACAATCTTTGCAAGGCTGTCGTGGAATCATTCTGCTCAGTGGCTCGGGCTCTGTAAAGTAATGCCGGCTGTACAAAGTGGACAATGAGAAAGCCATCCCAAACAGCACCAGCTTCTTCTCCCAAGTGCTGTAGCTTCCCATTCCTGCTAGGCAAGATCGTTTCTCATTCAAGTCAATCAATGACAACGTTTTATTCAGAAAATAGAAGTCTGTTATTTCATTTGACTATCTCCAAAGAATCAAGCTCATTCTGGGCCGTCCACATGATAGCTACTCAGAGGTCAAGAGAGGTCACCATATCTCCTTACTCCTGTAAGTAGTAAGAAAATCTCCTTACAGGGCGAGGTTCTGAGTCCTTCGTGTCCTTCACAGTCAATCAGTAACTGCGATTTTGGTCTGGAAGCCATCCAAGGAGAGCAAGCTCTGAGCCATCCTTAACTCATGCCCAGATGAAATAGCTTCCGCAGAAAGGCTGGACCTCCCCAGTAGCCTCTGGAAGAAACAACACAGAGAGACTAAGGAGACGAAAGAGGTAGGGTGGCATCAGCCAACACCGTGTTTACGAGAGGTTACAAGGGATGCCTGCCTATTAGCATATAAGGCAAGACGTGTCTGCTGAGGTGGAAAGAATCTCATGACTGGAACAATCTGCCTTGAGTCCTAGCTTTGACACTGAACTTGCTGTGTGAGCCCAGCATGCTGACTCCACTTGGCAGAACCCCATGAAGCAGCTGCTACCTCAAACTCTACTGTTTGCTTTGCTTTGCCTCATGACTTCAAAGCAGGACAGTCTCTCATCCTCACTGACAATCAAGACCTGGTGGCTCCTCACCACAGGAGTTGGCCCTGCACACCTCTGCTCACTAGCTGCCAACAGCATCCTTCCAGTTATGACAACCAAAACTGTCTCCAAATACTGTAAAATGTTCCCAAAATTATCCTGGACTAAGAATCACTGGTGTAGATATCCTGACTTACCAATATCATATGTGTCTGGAAAAGTCAAAGAGTATTTACTTTGAGCGAAGAGGGAGAATTATTAATTTGTGGTAGTCTTCTCAATGAGCACCCACCATTCTCAGCCTCTGCGTGTATTATCTCCTTAATGTTATTTTCATTTCTCAGATAAGAAACCAAACGTAGTCTAATCGAGTTGCTCAGCTAGTAAATGGTAGAAACATTATTCAAAAGTAAGTCAGAACTGGCGTCTCTCTCTGTTCTCTTAATTACTTTTAATTTTTCTCTAACATAATAGAAAACCAAAGGAAGGGAATAGATTAGAAAGTACTTGGCATGTGAAAATGATTTTTATTATACTATTGTCATTAGCATTTTTATTTATCTAATTTAGTTAGGAACAAAAAGAGAACAGAGAATGGAAGACAGAAGATTTGGTTCCTCCTATAAATGAAGTGAAGGGAAGGCATCCTGTCACAAGCGGGAGATACTGCAAACATCCCTCTAACCTCTCCTCCAAGTGTGGCTGAGGCTCGGGAGTCCTTTAAGGGTTATCGACAATTCTTGAGAAATGACACCATGGAGCAGGTCCCATTAGCAAGGCCTGTTTTGCGTAGAAGCTGGAAGGACCCCAGAAACAGCCCTCGGCACAGGTACCAGATGAGCCACCTACCTTAGCATCATATTCCAGTACAGGAACGGCATCAGGTCAGCCTTCATGAGGTACATAGAAAGTCGTTCTTTACCCTGATCGAAGGGGAAGGTTTCCAGAGGCTCGCCTCTGTAGTCAAACTCGGCAAGAATCACCCGGTTATAGCCGGTCACCAGTGGACATGAGGTGTAGCCATCATACTGAAATGAGAATGAGTGAGAAACACTTTCCATCATGGTAATACATGGAGACCTTATTGTTTGAGGGGCAACTGCATTTTCTTTTCTTTTGGTGTGTGTGTTCTAGTTTTTTATACCATGGAAAATGCAAATAATGCAATGAAATATAAAAAACAAAAATTAAAGCCCAAACTGATAAGAAAGTGCCAGAATTGTGGAAGAACACTAGCTTCACACAGAAGGGAAAGGGATAAATGAAGCAAGAATTCGTACAGGCATACAAACCTTTTTTGTGGGCTTTTGATTCTTCAAAATCAGAGAAATTGTTCTGTCAAGGATTCCTGACTGGGCAGCTACAAGAGAATGGAAAAGAAGAGCCTCAGGTTTCCCATGAAAACGAGTTTGCATATAACATTACTGTTAACAACTTAATGATGATTCTATCCCAACCTTTTCGAGCAGTGGTTCTCAACCTTCCTAATGCTGTGACCCTTTGATACAGTTCCTCGTGCTGTGGCCCTCAACCATAAAATTATTTTTGTTACTACTTCATAACTGTAATGTCACTACTGTTTCAAGTCATAATGTAAATATCTGTATTTTCCTATGGTATCAGGTGACCCCTGTGAAAGGGTCATTTGACTCTCCCAAGGGGTTCCAGAGTCACAGGTTCTCCAAGTGTGGCTGAGGCTTGGGAGTCCTTGAATGGCTACTGACAATTCTTGAGAAATGGCACTGTAGAGTAGGTCCCATTAGCAAAGCCTGCTTTGTGTAGATTGTGAGTAGAGCATTATTCTTCCTTTACTTGAAGTTCTGACCATCAGAAACGACCCCTTAGTTCATCAAAGGCCACAAAGCTGTCATTATTAGTTTGAAATTAAGGATCTTTTCCTCTCCAACAGGATAATAACAGTAACCCTACCCAAATTTTATTTCCCCTACTCCTAGGGGTTGGTGACTTTCAGTTTGGTCTGGGTGCCATATTTTATGGCACCTGGTATCCCTGTTAATAAACAGCCTAGATCGGAAGCCTCAGGCATAGTTGCTAAGGCAAATACTGGGCTTTCCTCTCTAAGTGTTGACTGACTGAAACCTAGGTAGATGGGTAGGTAAGTAAGTAGGTTGATAGATAGATAGATAGATAGATAGATAGATAGATAGATAGATAGAT